GACTTCCCTCCCTCAATGAGATTTTATTGCATAGATATTATCTATAATCTATCATCTATCATACATAATACATATACATATATATGTATGTGTGTGTTCAATATAATTTGTGCTTTATTTAAAAAGAATCAGGGCTGGGAAGGTGGCTCAGTGGTAGAGCACTTGCCTTGCATGCATGAGGCCCTGATTTCAATTCCACAGCACCACATAAACAGAAAAAGCTGGAAGTGGTGCTGTGGCTCAAGTGGTAGAGTGCTAGCCTTGAGCTGAAGAGCTGAAGGACAGCACCCAGGCCCAGAGTTCATGCCCATGACTGACTAAATAAATAAATAAGATTCTGTTTTTTGCTTTACGAACCATTTTTTCCTGGGTTGAGGCACATGTCTCAACCTGGTATTTATTAAAGGAAATTTTCTTTCCTTTTGTAGGAAGGTATTTTTACTTCAGTAAGCCAAGTTTAACTGTATTGAGCCAGAACTCTGTTGTCTGATAAACCTGTGCTTTTATAATTGCTTATTTTAAGCTAATTATTATTGAAATAAGTATGCTAGAAACCTTTGTGTATTGAGAACATGGACAGTTCACTTCTGTATATTGTATAGAGTATTTTCTTTTTCTAGACTGAAGGTCTCCAAACCACACAACACAGTCCTTCTGTATAGGCTAGATTTGTCTTTGGTTCTTCCAGTAAATATTTATGGAGGACAAACTGTGCATTCCTGTGTCAGAGCTGAGTACCCAGTGTTTCATACAGTTCTTCATTCCTTATTAGTCAGGGTGCCAATATGGTTTGTATATTGGTGTTTAATAAAGAGTTGTTTTGAGAGTACTTAATTTCAAGAATCAGCAACAAAGTGAAGCCAAGTCTTGGTGAAAATGTTGAGAACTGGTATAGCCTTTGTTTCTAGTGTATGAAAAGACTGAAGGCCAAGTTCTACAAGACAGTCAGTGTAGTTCTTGTGTTCCCATTTGTTCTGAGTCTGTGGCAGTTGTCTGGCTATTTCAGTGTACAGTCCTCTGCAGTGTGGGGATCTGCTTTAATCCTTGGACTGTGCTCAACAACCAATATGGTATTCACTTATATATATGCTGTATATATATTTATATATGCTATGACAGAAAAAATTGAGTGTAAAGTTTGAAAAACAAAGCCCACTTCTCACTACTGTTGAATTGCCAAAGAATAAAATAAATAGTTCCATGCTAAATTTCAGAGTGCTTAAAAAGGACAAGGCAAATAGATACATTTCAGAAAAAATACAAGATGCAGCGCAAGTTATGTGGATACCTTGGTTTGATTGGTCATCCAGACATAGAGCCTGTCATTCATTTATATATTGCATAAATATTCTCCGAGTTTCTAATCTCTGGACCAGGCCTTTCAGTGAGTAGACTGAGGCACTTAATTTCACTCATTTTTTAAATATTAAATTTTATTTTATTGTAAAGATGCTGTACAGAAGGGTTTCAGTTGCATGTGTAAGGTAATGAGTACATTTCTTGTCGAGCATTGTTACCTCCTCCTTTGTTTATCTCTTACTATCTTACTCTTTTTTTTACCCCCCCATTTCTTTTCTCTTTTTTTGTTGGTCATGGGGCCTGAACTCTGGGCCTGGGCTCTGTCCCTCAGCTCTTCAGCTCAAGGCTAGCGCTCTACCACTTGAGCCACTGCGCCACTTCCTACCCCTCACTTCTTGCACAAAAAATGTAAGACATTTTAACCCACAGCAGTCTCTTCCTGCCTGCCTGCCTGCCTGCCTTCATCCCTTCCTTTTTCCCTTCCTCCTTCCCTCCCTTCCTCTCTTTCTTGTTCCCTCTTTCTCTCCTTCCATCCATTCATGTTTGAAGTCAGTTATTGTCTTTATTGTCTTCATTCTTAAAGACTTCATAAGCTTATTTGTTCATTATTCAATCAAATGTGCATTATGTCAAGAAATGTTGGTTCAGGTACAATATAAAAATAAAGAGGAAAACACAGATAGTCCCAGTCTGGAGAGCCAAACAGATTGTAATATATTTGGAAGATACAGTATGGTAAGTAATAGCAGTGAGCTCCTGTGCTGTGTTGGGGGAGACCAGACGATGAGCACAGAAGTGGAGGCTTCTAAGTTAGCTGTGTAGGGAGAGGACGAAATCAAGGTGTGACATTGTTTACAGTGCTTGGGATAGAACTCAGGACCTCAGAGGTGAGGCAAGCTCTGCACCACTGAACTGTATCCCAACCCATGATATGATTCTTGATCTGGCCTTTTAGTGGGAGCTGGAGCGAAGGGATAGCTCCAGTTAGAGGAAGCTGTTAAGCTGAAAGGTACCTTTTACAAAATTGCAGTGTTTGCTTTTGAATTGGCTGTAAGAAGTGAGTTCTAAAGTGATGAACCAAGTGAAACATGAATGCCAAGAAGTATTTATAGTCTTGTACAAATAGTGTGTAGTGAACCAGATAGCCCACACACACTATTCCATCAGTTTTAAGTAATAAATACAACTGGAAAGATAAATAAGCAATTTAGAATTTAATAGAGTCTTCCCCCATTTATGCTTAGTTAGGATTTAGTGGTTAGCAGATTATAAATCAAGAGAATTAGGATGTTCTGTGAGATCAACACTGATGTGAGATCAATACAATGTAAGATCAATATTAATGTGTCACATGATATGGATAGAAAGTATATGAGTCCCCATTTCAATGAAGAGCTATCCTAGCTACCAGGAAGCCTAGCCCTGGTTGGTCACATGTAAGTGGGAGCTCAGACAGGAAATGGGACTCTTATCTCAAAAATAACAAGAAAAACCAAGTTTGGAGGTATGGTTCAAAGAGTACTTGCTTGGTAAGCATCTGGCCCTGAGTTCAAACCTCAGTACTGCTCAAAGAAACCTCCAAGTATTCTATTATCTACTATGCTAACTTGTCTTGTGTTGATTTGTGAACTAGGCCACTTCGATGCGCTTCTTAGTCATACGTATGTCACTTACATTTGGTTTAATTCTCTACTGCCTTTTCTGAAAAATCTGAATTTGTGAATGTGGAGCCCCTGTTTTCTTTTTGTGCTGGGTCCTACCAAATTATGTAGCAGCCCTGCCTATTCAGTTAGTGGAGACAGGAAGCTAAGGAGAAGTAGATGTCCTTGTGCCCTCTGGAGAGTTGCAGCCAACCAATTAAAGCATCCCAGCGCATTAGCAGGGCCATCTGTAGTCTGTGTGTGTGGATACCTCAGGCTGGCCAGCCTAATGTCATATGACATTCCATTTATGTGACAGACTCCGTAGCTTCCCAGATCCTGTTCTCCAAGCAGCCTTTTAATTGTGATTTGGCTCTTCTGTGTCTTCCTACAGGGAGAGAACTGGCTGGTCTTGCTGACTCCATGTTGCTTCAAGAAGTTAGCTACTAATGTGACAGTCTGGTTAGCTATCTCAGTGAGGATCCTTAATGGGGGGTTCCCATGACAGGTCTGCTTCTGCTGGATTTCTGATGCTCAAGGCTGAAGTCCAGGCATTGTGTCAATAAATTCATCAAGCACGCAAGTGAATAACAGTGATTGAGAGGAAGGACTTTGGAGGCAAGACACTCCTAAGTTTGCATATCAGTCTGTTCGTTATCGAGATGTACAATCCTCACCTTTCTGTGCCTAGTCCTTCATCTTTTAAGTGGAGTTGAATAAAGTAATATAAAAGATTGACATTTGGGACCAGATAATGCTTTGTTTAGTACAGGGATGCCTGAGGACTATACTGTTCATTAAAGGATGCTTAGCAGCATCCCTAACCTGAACTCCATGGAAGCCAATAGCTGCTCTCCTAGCCTCAGTTAAAACAATCAGTGTTTCCAGATATTGTCAGAACTCTGCTGTGGAGGATGAAGTGGAGGATGAAGTAGGTCCTGGTTAAGAACAGTGGTTACAGGTGAATAAAGAAGAAGGCAGATGTAGGTTTTGTGTTAGCTCTGGTACTAATGGTGAGGATAGTTACCAGCCTGAGACTCTCATAAGACATTCATCAGCCTTGCAACCATCCAGTTCTTTCCATTTTTATGCATAAATAAGTCTCTTATGGACACAGACTAAAAGTAAAAAAAAAAAAACCTTCAAAAAAACAGAAAAGAGCCAGGCACTGGGGGCTTACACCTGTAATCGTAGGTACTCAGGAGGCTGAGATTTGAGGATCCTGGTTCAAAGCCAGCCAGGGCTGGAAAGTCTGTTAGACTCTTATCTCCAGTTATCCACCAGAAAACGGGAAGTATGGCTCAAGAGGTAGAGTGCTCGCCTTGAGCTGAAGAGCGTAGGGACAGTGCCCCACAACTGACTGGAAAAAAACAAAAAACTAAGAAAAGAAACAATTCTTGGGATTAGCAAGTGAGAAAATGGTGTCTGAGCTCACAGTAGTGACAGTAATGTGATCATTAATGTTGAGTAAACTGCATTGGAGCATTTCCTTCTTCAGTTCCTATCACTTGCAGTAAGCATAAGCAAACAGTAAAAAGCTTTGTAATAATTACTAACAAGCAAATTGGATGAAAGGATGATGAACATTCCAACAGATATGTTATTTAAAAATTGATCAAAGTAAAAACAGAAACCAAAAACTTCACAGATAGGAACAAAAGAAAAAATATAATCAGTCTATAAACATGACCGTGGTTCAATTTTAATAAATTTTAAATCTTTGAATCTTTTCTTTTTAAATTGGTAAAGATTGTAAGCAATGCCATCCAACTCTTGGGTGTTATAGAAGCTTCTTTACACATTGGTTATGGGACAGTGGAGGCAAACACAAAGATGCATTACATTGAGCAGGAGAAAGCAAAATACAATTGTCAGTGTCTTAAAATACCCTTTATATTCTCAGACGATACTATATGAATGAGTTTTGGGGAGTAAATTGCTTTCTCTGGAATTTTAGGTTTTATACACTTTGACCCTCTTTCTGTTCATTAGTTTTTAAGGATATGTTCATTATAGTGTTTTATGAGTGAATGTTTACAGTGTCCATTTTTATATTTATAGTATGCGCAGAAGCTTATAATCCTGATGAAGAAGAAGATGATGCGGAGTCCAGGGTATGTAATTTACTGAAGAATCAATACTCTTGTGCTTTGTAAAGGAAATAATCACAGAGAAGATGTTAACAGGCATACAGGTTCACAGCAGAAACAGTGGAATTATTTTATCTATATCTTTTCATAAATTTTATCTCAGTCTGCTTGTACTTCAAATTCTGTAGAACCATTTTTATCTAAGAAGCATCTCTGAATAAAAAGAAACAGGAGCATAGTGCTCACTGCAGTTGCAGTTTTCTTTTTTTGCAGAGTATATTCTCGGACTCAAGAATGTTTTCAGCTATCTCTTTTTATAGTTACAGTGTTATTTTTCTTACACGGTGTTATTTTTATTACATAGTAAAAAAAATTTCTGGGAAAGACCCTCTGCTCCTATTAATGGATAACAACAGAAACTTACTCTGAAACAAACCTGACGATAAAATTATATCTGAAGAGTCAGCACAACAGTTAAGACTTTTTAAGTCTGTGTGTTTTGATATTTTCCACATTCACTGATTTCTTGGAAGCCCAGACTTTTACAAGAATTTGTCTAATATGATTTGATATTGTTTTTAAGTTGTGTCTTTCAGGTTCTACTTTTATTTATTTAGTAAAAAGTAAACTGTGTCTGCAAACAGAAGATAGTAATGTAAGAAACTTTGTTTCTTTGACCTGAAAACAGAACCCAGGCTTGGAGACTTCCAGCCTGTAATACTAGTTACTTGGGAGGCAGAGATTAGGGATTGTAGTTCAAGGCCAACTCTGGCATAAACATTCAAGAGAGTCCATCTTGACCAAAGCTTGATGCTAGGCTGAAACAAAATGGCTTGGAGCAGTGGAACATTCCTGTCATCCCAATGACAAAGGCGAGCGCAAATAGGTTTTCAGCACAAGCTGGCCCAGGCATAAAGTGAGACCCAATTTTTTAATATAACCAATGCCAAAATGGGCTGGCTGAGCAGCGTAAGTGGTAGAACACCTGCTTAGTTAGTAAGGTGTTTAAACTCAGGCCCTGAGTTTACACCCCAGAGCCATCACACACACACACACACACACACACACACGCACACGGACACGCACACACACACACACACACACAGCATAAACAAAAACCTCTGTATGTAGCTCTCAAAAAACACTTCAGTGAGATTGACTGTTAATATAGAAAAGCACATAGCAGGTACATCATTCCATCATGAGACCTCCTGAGATAGGAGAATCTAGTGGTAGGAAGATTGGGTGCCTTATAACTTGGATCTTTAAGGCTCATTTTGTCCCTGTGTCCATAGGAGTTCCCAACCCCAGGAATCATTTCTTACCAGTACAACTTAAATTATTTTGATGAAGCCCACAAATCCCAGCCTGGAAATAGTGTTGCTTTAAAAATCAAGAGATTTATCACTAATCTGTGATATACTGTAAAGCCCCTTATGCAGTCTTAAACTCAACTTTTAGTATCATACACTTTATGCATCTGTCTGAAACATTCAAAGTTTCCATACATTGATACAATCTCAAAATTGAGATAAGTTTGATCAGGTAGTTCAAATTAGTTTCTAAAAAAATAGGTGTGAGCACCTGTGCTCACACCTATTATACTAGCTACTCAGGAGGATGAGATCTGAGGATTATGTATTGAAGCTAGCCCCAGTAGGAAAGACCATGAGTCTCTTATCTCCAATGAGCCAGCAAAAAACTGGAGGTAAAAATGTGGTTCACATGGTTGAGTGCCAGTCTTGAGTAAAAAAGCTCAGGGACAGTGCCCAGGCCCTGAGTTCAAGCACCAGAACTGACATACAAAAACAAATAAATAATAAAGTAAGAGCACTTCACGGTACAGTTTGAATACAATATGCAGAGGGAGTTTAGCTACTGTTGAATGTATGAGAGTGAAGTGTTGGCTTATGCAAACTAATTATCCCAATTAAGATTCACTTGAGTGCATAGTAGAACCCAATCAAATGGAGATTAAACATAAGAAAGAAAATACTGGGGAGAGTTTATTGGGCAGATGCTTAGAGACCAATTTGGAAAAGGTGAGGTTGTGGCAAGCAGGCACCTCTGCAGTAATTCAGCTTCAGCAGCAGGAGTTCAGGACTTGAATGTTGTCTTTGGAAAGCACCTGGCTTCTATTCTCTCTATTGCTGTGTCTCTCAGTTCAAAATTCAGTTTTCCCAAGAGTTTCGGATAAACCCAGTGGTGATGAGAATTGAGCCATGGTTGGCAAATGAATGTGGCTACTCAAGACTACTAATAAACAAGGGGGTAGGCAGGCCTACAGGAGGATATGGTTATGTGGTTGGGCATTTACTTAAAGACTGCCCACCCATACCTCTTTAAAGCTTTTTTTGTAATTCATATATTAATTGGATGGTAATGATTATAATAAAGTGCTTTAGTTTCTCATTTAGGTTGAATGTTCTTTTCTCTAGACATTAATAAAGACTATATATATATATATATATATATATATATATATATATTGTCTTAGAAACTAGAAAGCAATCTAAATTATAGCCCTTAGGATTTATTCAATCTAGGCAGATAATTGGAAACTGTGAGGAAAATCTGTATTGTGTTTTGTAGATGACACAGCATTTAGATATTCAATATTATTTCTGGGATAATTACCAGATCCTCAAATCTCTAGTATACATGGGTATTTATTTTCTGATATAAATTCAAAGAAAATATAACTACTTATGAGTCATTGTGGAAAACAGTAAGTTTTAGTTGGAATACTTTTAATAAGAATTTAAGGGTTGTATGTATCTAGCTTGCATAACCTGGGAGAGTTTAAGAGTGGGGTATGTATTATTTTCCACAGAATTTCTTTGGAAGCCTTCTGTATATCTGGCCAGTTGTACAGTAGTGAGCAAGATGAACAAGTCCTAGGAGCTTAGAGTCTAGAGCAGATATAAACAAAGTAAATCAATGGGCACTTAAGAACAGGAAATGCTAAAGATGCAGAGAAACAGGGTAAGAATTAAAACCCTAAACCACTGGTATATATACATATATGTATATATACACATACATAATATATGCATATATGTGTATATATACACATACACACATATATGTATGTATATGTATATACACATACACATATATACATATATATGTATGTATATATATGGGTGTATATGTATATATACACACACATATATACATATATATGTATGTATATATATGTGTGTGTATATGTATATACACATATATACATATATGTATGTATATATATGTGTGTATATGTATATACACATATATACATATATATGTATGTATATATATGTGTGTATATGTATATACACATATATACATATATATGTATGGGTATACACATATATATGTATATATGTGTATGTGTATACACACACACACATTTTATTGTAAAGGTGATGTGCAGAGGAGTTATAGTTACATAAGTAATAAGGTAATGAGTACATTTTTTTTCCAACAGTGTTACCGTGTCCCTTATTTTCTCCCACTTTCTCTCCTCCCCAACTCCCCTCCTCTCTTAAGTTGTAAAGTTCATTTCCAACATAATGTCTAGTGAGTCTAGTCTGTTGCATTTTCACCCTTCCTCCCATGATTTCTGTGATTCCTCTTCCCTTCCCCAAATCAGATAACTTATTATATATAAAACAAAGGGCACCTACAGACATGATGGAGTCCATTGCATTTTGAAGCTGGAGAAGGGGGTGTTTGTTTTGGTTTTGTTTTTACAGTATTGAGGATGGACCTCAAGGCCTTGTACAATGCCCCCAGTCCTTTTGCTTTACTGTGTTTTTCTTGTAGGGGCTTACAGTTTTGCCTGGGGCCAGTCTGGGACTGAAGTTGATTATCCTACCTCCTCCTCCTCCTAGTAGCTGGGATTATAGGACTGAACCATGTCTGGCAGGCTGGGGTGTTCTTTTTTTTTTTTTAACATTATTATCTCTACTTTTTTTTTGCGAAAATACCATAAGAGGGGTTACAATTACATGAGCAAGGTAATGAGTACATTTCTTATCAAGCATTGTTGCCTCCTCCTTTGTTTCCCCTTCCCATTTCCCCCTCCACCAAAGTTGTAAAGTTTGTTTTTCGACATAATGACTTGTACATCTTATTGTTGCAATGGGTCCACCTGTATCCCTAGTTAAACAATTTCTTTTTTCCCTTCCCCTCCACAAATTATACCAAAAACAAATACAATGAAGGCAGGGGTTATACTGTGGGGGAGGGACATACAAAGCAACAAAGAAACCATCTTATAAATATGTTAGAAACAATCCCAAGAAAGAAAAAATATAAAAATATGGAACACTTCATGAATTTTCATGTCATCCTTGCTCAGGGGCCATGCTAATCTCTGTATTGCTCCAATTTTGGTATATGTGTTGCCAAAGCAGATACTGGTTAAATCTTTTAAAAGATTGCTTTCTGAAGATGGGAAGGAGAAACAAAGGAGAGGCAACAATGCTTGATAAGAAATGTAAAACTTGTTACCTTGCCCGTGTAATTGTAACCCCTCTGTACGGTAATTTCACAATAAAAAATTTAAAAAAGAGAGATTACTTTCAACGCTATGAAGAATGGGTTGGACGATATGAAAATAATCTTGTACAAATTTGTGTCACAAGATAACTCAGTCTTCTTCAAAGAACTGTATAAGTAAACTATATTAATTGTTTTTCTAATTCTCTTTCTTCAGGGGAGCCGGAGTTGCCAAACTTCCGTTGTGATTTTCTTTTAACTAAAATTCACTATTTTCAAAAAGTCAGTATTTTAGGTTTTGGGATTACAAAGTCTCTTACAGCTACTCAGCTCTGCTATTGTAGCTTAAAATTGGTCACAAAGCAAATAAATAAAATAAAATGCCAGTGCTCCATTAAACTTTATTTGTAATCTGAGCCCTCGTGGCTCATACATGTAATCCTGGCTACACAGGAGGTTGAGATCTGAGGATTGTGGTTCAAAGCCAGTCCGTGAGACTCTTACCTCCATTAGCTGTCAGAAAACCAGATATTGAGCTATGGCTTAAAGTGATAGAGCACTAGCCTTGACAGAAAAGCTTAGGAACAGCACCAGGCTCTGAGTTCAAGTTTTATTACTAACTTAAAAACAGCAACAAAACAAAGCGCAGCTTTATTTGTAGATATCTTTAGCCTTCTCTTAGGCCAGAAAGACTCGAAGAGTTTACAAGACACTCTTACAGAGGACATTCTGCAGTCTTCATCCTTTTGGAATAAAAGTTTAGTGAGACTGTAGAATATTGGTTTCTTCTGAGTTTACTCTAAAATGAGCGATTTATACCAGGCATGATAGCCCTTGCTTATAACTCCAGCACTCAAGGGATGGAGGCTGGAGGATTGAAGGCTGGCCTTCAATCATATAGGGCTATATAACAAGACCCTGTGTGTGTGTGTGTGTGTGTGTGTGTGTGTGTGTGTGTGTGTGTGTGTGTGTGTGTGTGTGTGTGTGTATGAGAGAGAGAAAAAATAAATGAATGTATCAGCAGTTTTTTTGATTCAGTTTTACCATGAACATCACTATCTTTCAGGATATACAGTTGCTCGCTGTCACCTGGAAATTCCTTACACTCTGTGGGTACAATTATCTCCAATTCACACAAACATTTATTTAATATTAAGTACAATATGCATTTAAGAATTTACTTGTTTCTAGAAAGTTAATTGAGTTTCAAAGGAAAGACCTACATCTTGAAGACTGTTGAATTTAGGAGAAAACGAATGAAGGCCATCTCTAAATTTTCAGTGTGGCTGTTGTAATATATTGTCCTTTTGTACTTGTCCCTACTGGCTGTGAACTTTTGAGTCTCTTTAGCCAATCTTACATAATTTCATAATGAACTAGGGTGGGAGAGCTGTACTTAAACAGTGAGTGCCAGTGGCTTACACCTAGCTACTCAGGAGGCTGAGATTTGAGGTTCACAGTTTGAAGCTAGCCTGGGAAGGAAAGCTGGTGAGACTCCTATCTCCAGTTAATTAGAAAAAAAAGCTAGAGTGGAGCTGTAGCCTAAGTGGTAAATCACCAGCCTAGAGTAAAAAAAGCCAAGGTATTGGCTGGGAAGGTGGCACAGTGGTAGAGTGCTTGCCTTGCATGCATGAGGTCCTGGGTTTGATTCCTCAGCACCACATAAGCAGAAAAAGCCAGAAGTGGCGCTGTGGCTCAAGTAGTAGAGCTCTAGCCTTGAGCTGAAGAGCTGAGGGACAGCACCCAGAGTTCAGGCCCCAAGACTGACAAAAAAAAAAAAAAAAAAACACCCAAAAGCTAAGGTACAGTTTCTAGGCCCTGAGTTTATGTCACAGTACCAGGACAAAACAAAAACAAACACTCCTGGCCCCTATTTCCAGTGCCGTGTTGATAAATGCAGCCAATCCAGTTCTATGTGATGGATGTTGGTCGTTGCAGACAATCCAGTGCTGTGTTGAGGGATGTGTACTGTCTCCTGACAAGCTGTATTACTTTCCCTATTGAGTAGGCTCATTGTCCTGTCACCTGAAGTGAATCTCAGGTGAATCTAAATGAACAAGAGCACTAACAGTTCTTTCTAGCATACCTGTTGCTTCTTAAACAATTTTGATTGGTATTAACTCCTGTTTTTTTCCCATGATTTTGTATCATTTTAGATTATACATCCCAAAACTGATGATCAAAGAAATAGATTGCAAGAGGCTTGCAAAGACATCTTGCTGTTTAAGAACCTGGATCCGGTAAGATAAATCTTGATAAGAGAAATGGTTTCTTCAGTACCAGGGTCAGGAGCCATGAAATGGTTTGAATTGATCCTCTTCCCAAGTTAATATCACTCTGGGATGGTTGCAGTGGGCTCATCTGTGTTGGCGCTGCAGGAGACAAAAAGTGAGAGGGGTTCACACTGTGAGAGTCTGGAACCAAGAAAGCCTTGCTGGCTGTCTTGAATTAAGGTTACTTGCTCCACACATAGTCCTGATAAGACTGGCTAAGGAAAGGTTCAGACCTTGCATTCTTCATACATTCCATAGACAAGTGCAGGAGCATTTATGGTACGTGGAGGAGGGCCTCTCTCAACAGAGAGACTATATTTGAGTGTGTAAAACCTCTATATTATACATAACTTTTAAAGTAGAGAATTTTGAAATCTCTTGCACTTGGTTAGGGTCTTTCTAGGGTGCTCACTCAGTGAATAAGCTTGCTCTCCAATTTGCAAAATCAACTCTGTTCTTTTTTTTCCCCAAACTTCACATCATCTACCTTTCAGTTTGATGCCTTAGAGAAAAAAAAGAATTAATTCAGTCTCTACTTTTTTCTTTTACTTTTTTTGGTAGGAGGGCTTCTTAAAAAGGCAAGTTTTGAAAGATTAAAGGAAATGTTCTCCTAGCAAGTATGAAGCATTGAGATTAAAGGAAATGTTTGCCTAGCAAGTGTGAGGCACTGAGACTCAACGTCAGCTGTGCCCTCAGAAACCACCAAAAACAAACAAACACAAACCACCTAAAACAATACCATCCTCCATCCAGCTCAAGTCTGGTTAAGAGTTTTGGTGAACTCTAAGACATAATTAACCCTGTCATGGAGTGAGAGTTCAACTGTTCAGAGTGGCCCTGGCACTTTGGTCTTTGTCTGCCCAAGTGTATTCATTCAGTCCATTTATCCTGCATTTACTGCGTTCCATCACTGAACCAACAATGCTGGTGAATGTGGCGGAAACAGACCCAGTTCAGTGCTCTGAGTTGTGGTTCTGTAGCCAGCTGGTAGATGACATGTTCTCAATATTCAATTCTTTTGTTCCAAATGCATGTTCTAAAATTTATCAAGTCTTCTACTTACAGGAAGGCTATTTTTTGACTAGGATTTTACATGGGAGAATTCCAGAAGTCACTAAAAAATTAAGGTAGCTTTCAGGTTTTACTTACCAAGGGATATTTGATGCAGATTCTGGCTCAGAAGGTCTGAGCGGAGTCTGGAAACTTGTGTTTCCTACACGTTCTCAGGTAATGTTGATGCTCCTAGCCTACAGCGTACTTCGATTACTAAGGACTAGAGCTAGGTGTGACATGTTCAAGTTCAATATTTTGGTATTGCCATATGTCATTCTGTTTGCTACTTTTCTGTTCATTGAACTGGTATTTTCATGCTTCAGCAGTGACTAAGCAGTGATATTCTGGTTGTTTGTGTATACTAACTGTACAGAAACAGTTACTAATGATACTTTCCTGAGATCCTGCCTATTCTACTCTATCCTATAAAGTAAAATTGATTTTCCTTGTTATTTCAACTTTAACTTTTTTAAAGTTAATTACTTTTTTCAGTTAATTGAACTCAGGGCTTATACATGCTAGGCAGGCAACTCTACCACTTGCGCTACATCTCAGCACCTTTTTTCATGGGTGGTTTTCAGGGTAGGGCCAAGCTTCATACCTAGGCTAGCCTGAGCTACAGTTCTTCTACTTGTGTTTCTCCTAGTCCAGGATGACAAGTGTGTGTCAGTACACACAGCCATTGTGCTTCCCTCCTAGCTGGGATAATAGATGTGTGCCGTCACTCACAGCCATTGGTTGAGATATGGAGTCTCATGTTCCTTTATTCTGGGCTGGCCTCAAGCTGCAGTTCCTTGATCTCTCAGAGCACTGTGAAATTATGACTGTGTTTTAAACTATTTTTTAAGAACATCTTTTTGTTAGTATAGTTTGGTAAGGAGCATCTTTACTGCATTAAAGTGCTTTACTTAACGTGCATTACTGCATTTTTTTTACAAATATGATTTCTTTTAGACTTTTTTCACTGCTCTGTCCAAAATCTTCAAAGTATATTTTAAAAGCAAGGTTATATAGAGGACAGAAAGGCCCCAGCTGGGTGCTGGGTGCTCACACCTATAATCTTAGTTATTCAGGAGGCTGAGATCTGAAGTTTGTGATTCAAAGCCAGCTCAGGCAAGAAAGTCGGTGAGACTCTTATCTCCAATTAACTACCGAAAGATGGAAGTGGAACTGTGGCTTTAGTTATAGAGCACTAGACTTGAGCAAAAAAGTTCAGTACCCAGTCCCTAAGTTCAAGCTCCAGGACTAGCATACACACAGACACAGACAGACAGACAGACACACACACACACACACACACACAAACTATAAATGTGTGTTTTATAGAGAATGTTGTTTTATAGAGAAGCCACACAAATATAGTTAGGTATTTCTAAAGTGATAATTTTATTTTTCTTTTTGTTATGAAATAGGCTTTTGCTATATAGGCTCAGACTATACTCAAACTTGTGGTTCTCCTGTTTCAGCCTTCCAAGTGTTGAGATCATAGATGTGTGCTATTATATTCAATGAAGATTAATTTTTGAATTTGAGATCAAACTAGCTTGATTTATTTCCCTCTTCTCAAATTTATTACTTAGAATGAGAAATTTAGCCTAAAAATGTAAGATTGAATATTTTATAATAAGCACATATTTCCAGCAACCTTCTAGTGTGTGTGTGTGTGTGTGTGTGTGTGTAAACTCAAATGTATTTTAATTGAAGTATATATTCAACTCATATGATCCGTCGATCCTGTAACTTCTTTCCATTCAATTTCTTTACTGTCCCTAGTTTCAAAGCTTCCATAAGGTGTTTGGTGCCATCAAGGTGGTTAGATGTGACTCTTGCCCTCTGGGACCTATACTTGGGTGAGACCCAAGCACACAGACAAAGAATGTTGGTAATAGATGGTGACATGTGCTCAGGGTGCTGTAAGAGGATGAGTTGTGTCTTAAGCTACCCTGAAGATTCAGAAAGCTGGAGATCCTGCTGAGCTGCACTTAAGAAAGTGAGAAGGAAAACACTGGGTTACAAAAAGTTCGGAGAGTATTACCACTAGAGCCTAAGCGGACATCAGATGGCAAGGGAGTTAATGAGTGGATGCTGTTTCAAGAAGGGCATTCTGAAGTGCTATCCTATAACACTGGACACATCCTTTAAGCAGTGGGCCCAACTGAAGAGTTTGAGCACAAAATTAACATTGTACTCATCTAATATTCCCTTGGGTGGCAACATAGAGGGTAGAATTAAAGAGCAGAGAGCAATGAAGGACATGGACCAGTGAGGAAACTATGCTATGACCCAACGTAAAGAAATAGGCTTGAAGTAGGGAAGGAAGAAAAGGGTTAGACTGAAATGGTGTCAAAAAATAAACAGGATTAACAGAATTTGCTGGTTCCTTTAGTTGGAGCCTGACAGGCTAAGATGACTGTCAGTACGTAGTGGAATTACTGTGCAATAGCAAAAGTTGAGGGACACGTGAGAAAAAATAATTGATAATTAGCAAGAATGACTTGGCTTTGTATTTACTCGTTCATCGGACTTTCCTGAAGTCATTGTTGAGCTTGAAAATACTGCATTTCCTGGACCTCCGAACATTTATCTGCAAAGGACTGTATATTTATATGTTGAACCACAGCATTTATAATTATTCATCTCTTTGAAGATACTCTTTTCATGAATATTTTAATGCTTAACTCTGTAGGCCATTTTGCTTCTGAAATATTTCTAATCTGAGGCTAAATGAAATAATTTTCCTGTGCTATATGACAGGTTCTCTCATTAGTGCAGAGTAAATTATTTCTTAACTGAGTCAGGGCCTTTTATTGAGCTCAGTCTTGCATTTGCATTCTGTGGGAGAATTAGATGTGAATTTCCTACAGTAGTTGTCAGTCATTGTGCTAAACCTCTGCATATTAAATATTTCCTACTTTCTCTCCACTCTATGCATGATTATGAGGAAATTATGTTTTTGATTGACTAGAACAGATAATCTGTCACAAAGAGAAGTTCCAAAAGAAATAACTTTTTTCTTCATTTTTTTCAGAATTTTTCATAGAGACATGTATAAATTCTTTATCACTTAAAAGTTGTGCATTATGTATCTATTATAAAATGTACCCAATTCTAACTTAAACAAAAATTTGCTATAGTAATCTTACCTTACATTTCTTTTTTCCCTAGTTCAACGGGTAGAGTCAGAATGAATCAATAAAGCAGATATTCCTCTCCTACCTGCCTTAAAAGAGTTGAAATAAGCATAGAAAAATAAAGTATTAGTAAACTATGTAATCAACGTTCAGAATTTGACAGGTGACCATATGCTGCTTCAGCTGATGAACTCATTTGGGTAAAAGGGTCCCCATGAGGCCAATTAGCACCACATCAGAATAGCTGTGTTTTACTGGCACTCTGCTTCATCCTTAGCACTGGCTGCTGGCCCACAAACAGGTGCCAGAGCTTACCCAGCAACCCACAGAAGGGACAGAAACCACTTTCCTACAACCTTAAAGCCATTATTTGTCCAAGGCTTTCTTAGTCCATGTGAAGCTGCAAAATTATATTCTATTCTCAAATTGTTTTTTTAATTAAGAAGTTTTAAGTTAATATAGGAAAATTTTGCTAAAATTCAGAATGCACAAAAAATAGAGGAAATCTACCCCTTATCTCTGTCTCCCAGCAACCCCAGTTTCTCTCCGCTGAGTTATGTTAATATCATGTGCATTTTCCGGGGTTAGGGAATGAATAAACAAATGTGAATTCTCTTCTGAAATATAGCTGGTTAAATAGAATTTCCAGAGTCTCTCTAATAATTATTTTTATTAGTATCTTAAAAGTTTAGAGTGATAGCTTTTATGTGTTTTGGAGCGAAGCCATGAAACTACATTAATGTTTTGTGGTATAAACTGTTAAGATTATGTACATAATAGAGA